CACACACACACACACACACACACACACACACACACATACACACACAGCTACACAAACACACATGTTCACAGAAGTGCGGGAGCTCAGTTGAGGCCTTTTCTTTTCAAGTTCATACCTCTATTCCTAATACCCTTGCTCCCTTTGTTTAGGAAAATTTATATAAACCAATAAAATTTTTGCCTTTTCCAGACATCTTCTTCATTTTAACCAATCATGCAGGAGTGAACTGCCCTCCCAGAACAAAGCATGCAGTACTTTATGTCCTCAAAGTGACTCATCTGAGCACACCGAGTGCTCTTGGTGAGGTGGCTGGTTGTCTATAAGCAAAAGCAGGCACAGACCCTGGGGCAGAGGCTAGGCCACACCTGGGCTTCCCTATGCAACAATCCAGTCTTATGCTTATCACAGAAGCCAGTCCCAGAGAAAAAAATGTGACCACAAGCAAGCCAGAAGGAAAGGGCAATACTTACATATAGTATGTGGGATAGAGTCCTTCAAAATACCAGCAGTGCTTTTTGGCCTCTGTACACTAGAAATAAAAGCAGAAGAAACTGTCAGCAATGAGTAACTTGTATACACTAAGGTCTCAGGAAGGCAACAAAGAAAGAGCATGGGGGGAAAACATGAAAAGCTGGGGTTCAGGCCAAGCAGTAAGTTACAGGGAGAACCCCTTCTCTCCTTCACAAGCTGTTTTATTCAAAAACTTTTAAATGGGGAGGCCATAAGGAAGCATCTATTCTCCTCGATTTCCATATCTCTAAACACACTAGGTATAAACATTTCCTTAAGAGAGCAAATGAAAGAAAATCACTCTTGAAAAGGAAAAAAAAAAGTTTTGGTGCTTGGAATTAAACCTAGAGCCTAGGGTAACCTAGGGAATGACTTTAACCACTAAGCTACACATCCGCCCTGTTTTTAAAAACTTAAGTTTGATACTGCAGAATGGTAAAGAATGGAGTGAAACAATGCACTTTCTAAGAGCTGTTTCCCCCAAATTTTTGTTTTTTAAAGACATATCTCAGAATAAAGAGATGGCTCTGTGGTGTAACAGCATTGGCTGCTCTTGCAGAGAACCCAGGTTCAATTCCCAGCACCCACATGATGGTCAACAACTATCTGTAACTCCAGTTCCAGGGGATCCGACACCCTCTTCTGACCTCCAAGGGCACTGCACGAGACGGGTGCACTCACATAGATGTGGGCAATACACTCATACTCATAAAATAATAAAATAGAGACGTCTCATAGTGTCACAATTTCTTGATCTTTATGTTTTGCAATACTCTGAAAGCCATGTTCAAACCTTTCATTCTGTAGTGGTGGGTCTATGTTTGCCCCAAAATGTAAGGTGGGTTTCCCTCAGCAGCATCCAAGATACCCAGCCCAGGTGTCATCTTAGATGCAGAAAAAGAGGAGAAGGGAAGAAGGGAGCCCACCCTAGGCTTCCCCGTGAGTCCAACTCCTGGCATCACAGGAATAGGAGCCCCCCCCAAAACCCTAAGGACTGGGCAGGACATGTGAGCTACAGCTCATGGGGGCAGGAGATGAATGTCCATGCCTACAAGTGAGCATAAGTCACTGTCACCAACTGCTCATGGAGATCCCGAAGCAGAAATGTTCTTACCTATTGACACAAGACTTTCCTACAATTATTCTACTCATACATCGATTTCTATAATTCACAACATCCTACCTCTACAAATCCAGCTTGTTGATCCCTATGTGCAAACAAACTTCAAAAACCACTGCTGTGCAAAGCTACCAGGAGCAGGAATACTGGCCAAACACACAAGGAAAACAAGGCTGGCTCTGGGCAGGGCAGTGGCACTCTTCACGGAAGGCAGAAAGGTAAGGCCATCCTTGGCTTTCCCCAACTCCACCCGCAAATATGGAGACAGTCCTGTCAGTCTGCCCGGCTGTTGTAATCAACTTAGAAACAGACCCCCCAATTTGTAACAGCACTGCAAGGGAGAAGTAAGTGCGTATTACATTATTACATTAGCTAAGTCAGATGGGTTATGAAAACAGTAGGAGACTCTGGGTCTTTTCGTACTGTGTTTGGTGGCCTGGACTGACCCAGTTGTATTAATGAAAAATGAATTTAATTTAATCAAGGTTACCTACTGTCCAATTCAACAACTGAAATGCAGGCAGCCAATGAAATCAATTTATTCTGGCAGGAAAAAACAATTTCAGATCCCTGCTCTAAGTTACGATTCATTTAAAAGAGTCTTGAGTGGTAATAGAATCAAGTCATTCTTCCATGTGGCTTTTTAAGTCATCTTCTTAGTTCTCCATCACTACCAGACAGGCAAACTTTCTTGGAACTTAATAAGCTCCACACAATCAGGAAACGGGCTCCTTTGACGACTACAAAGCCTGAAGACCGCTGGAGGTCACCAGGTGCCAGAAGCTCCTTCCCTCGCACGGCCCCATTGTGTGCACAGATGGACAGTGAAGGTTGGTGGCATACAATAGTTGGCACGTCCCTTAAGGAGCTCCCTAACCCAAAGCAGCCACTTGTTTGCTATGCCAGTTCCACACCTCCCAACTTCCAGCCCAGCACTGACGCATTGCATTTTAGAAAAGACTTTTTCTTCCAAACAGACAAAATCCTGAGTCACAAATTCCTTTGTAGAAATCTGTTTCTTCTAGGCTGCTCAACATCACCCTCCAAGCTACCACCAAGTCCTGCATGCTGCCCTGAGGCTCTGTGGCAGGAAAAGAGCACGAGAAGACGTCACAAATCTGCACCCAGTTCCCGGCTTTCTCATCACAGACCAAGAGACCTGGAAAAAGCACATTTTCACCTCAGCCTCACCCACACAGGGCTATCCACAGGGAGGGTGTTCCAAGGTTTGAAAAGATTCCACAAAAACACAACTCCCAGACACTCTCAAAAGGAAATTTAGGAATGTCTGGGAAATAACTGAAATAACATTTGTCTTTAGCCAGTGATGATCATCCACAAATATGAAACACCATATGCCTGATATTAGTGGCATTCTTTCTAATACTGAAATCCCAGAAACAACACAAATGCTTGTTCGGGGAAGACTAAGAAATGGTAGTGTACAGGTGTGGTGGCGCACACCTTTAATCCCAGCACCCGGGAGGCAGAGGCAGGGGGATCTCTGTGAGACCCCCAGGTCTATATATAAGAGTTCCAGATCAGCTGGGGCTACCAGGAGACCCTGTCTTAAAAAAGGAAGGGAGGGAGGGAGGAAGGAAGGAGAGAGGGAGGGAAGGAAGTAGAGGGAGAGAGGGAAGGAGGGGAAAAGAAAAAGAAAAGATAAAGACATGACAGTGCATCTTATGCAGTGGAATATTATTCAGCCTGCAAGAATGCAGGTCTCAGAGACTTGGTAAGAGATGATCATGAAGATATAAGGTTAAGTGAAAAGGCATTATGCAAAAGCATGTGCCCAGTATGCCATCATTTACAGGAAAGGAAAACAGTTCGCTTAACTTGCTTTTTTCAGAATCTCAGGGCATGTATGGTAAGAATCAGCAGAAACACTTACTCTGTAAGGGGTGGGTGTAAAATGGGAAAGATCAGTTGTGTACAGGAAGCAGGTATTTTATTTAGGCTGCAGCCTGGTCCAGCAGGCTCAAGCCTCAAAATCTGAGCCCCAAAGGAAAGCAGCATGTACCTTTTATACCTTTGGCACTGGGTTACAGTGAGAAGGAAACTTACATGTTGATTGGCTATCAGTAAAGTCTTAAAACCAGGCACCTTATTATAAGTTTAGAAAAAAAAAACAGTGTTAAAAAATGAAAATCCCCTGTCTGAAAGGCACTGCAGAAGTCACCATCTGAGGAAAAACAAAAGAGGAAGCATCTATAAAGAGGGGACAAAACCATAGGCTGGGTGACGCCAGCTTTCCAGCCACAAAGCTGGTCAGCCAACATCCTGCTGACAAGGTGGTGTAGACACAAGAAGAAAGCAGAAAAAGGGTTAAAATCCTTACTTTCCTTGACTATTCCACCGGGGGCAGCGGGGGGTAGAAGACTGACTTTCTTTGAGAACATATTTTATCTACTTTAAATGTAAACTGAGTGTATCTTGTAGTCAACAAAAGTAAAGTTGAAATTATTAAAAAGTCAGGTTCAGGGACAGCTGGGGTATAGCGCAGAGTGGAGAGAATACTTTAGTACCGTTTTCATCTCAAGTACCAAACACAAATAAATAAAATGATAAAATTCACTCTTCTAAGGTGAAAAGCATTTACTAAAGGATGTCACAGCAAAATTGCCTGACTCACATCTTGGCCCAGAGCAACCAAATGGTACAGACACTGGAAAATCCTAAGAGTCGCACTTTCCAAGTGCAAGGTGCTATTTCTAGCCCAGTCTTCCTCTTACCTCTCAAAACCTTTCTGGCACTTTTGATGGGCTATTTGGTAACTTCACAGGAGCCTACTTGGTTGTACCTCACACTTATTTGCTAATGACCTTTATTATTTTGAGCAAACTATCCGTGCAAAACATATTTAGAAAAATCTGGATCCTGGTTTGCTCCTTTACAAAATCTAATCTTGAGAAAATTATGGCCACATATCTACATGTCCTGAAACAGAAAACACTTCTTAAACAAAGCTATCCAATACTTATAATGCAGCTCCATTTTGATGCTATTGAATTTATTGTGTTTGGAGGTGGCCAATATCTAGGAAAATCTCACTCTTTTGTGAAAAAATTATTAGAACAGCTTTTTAAAAACATAGTATCAGTTTTGTTACACAATACACACATACAGTATCTCACTACAGTGAATACATGGTATTCTTACATTTGACAAGCATATAATCAAAGAATACAAGAAGTCACAATACAAGAAAAACATTGAATGATGTGTCATTAAGTCCTAATGGTTTTGTTGTTGAATCTTTCCATCAATAAATGCTTGCTTGCTGAAAACCAGGCATCAGTCAAACTGCCCTTGTGGTTAGATGGACTGTAATTTTCTCAGGGCATGTCTGAGTTGAGAGCCAGATTCTGCCACATCTATATCTTCTGAGAGAGTTAGCATTCATCTAATGCTCAAATCTAACATAAAAACCAGATACAGGGCAAAGCTGGAGGTGGGAGACGGGGTCTAGTCAAAAGGGTCATTTACAAAGGATGAGCAAGAGTTTCAGAACATATCTCCTGGTGGACTTTCAGGTGAATGGGCTGTGGAACGACAGAAGGCTTTGGGCTAGGATCTCCTACAAAAACAACCCAGGTTCAGAAGTAAAGGACACATGAAGGAAAGATGAGCTACACGACTAAACAGCTGAGTTCTACTCCTGACACTTAGAGGCCATGTCACCAGTTTCCTTTGGTCTCAGCTTCCTTGTTCCTGAGGTAGCACAGACTCTGCTCAGTTTCTAAGACTTCAGTGTAAAGAAGACTGGATATATAAAATGTCTTGCCAGAACAAGCCTAGTTCACTAATGCATAGCCAGCTAGCACCTCTGTTCCTAAATGTGTGTCTTGAAACAAGCTTTCTTAATTCTCCAGAACAAATGATTTCCAAGGCTCATT